GCACCACCCACACCACCAGCACCACCCACACAACCCACTCAACCCACACCGCCAGCACCACCCACACCACCAGCACCACCCACACAACCAGCACCACTCACACAACCCACTCACACAACCCACTCACACAACCCACTCACACAACCCACTCAACCCACACCGCCAGCACCACCCACACAACCAGCACCACTCACCAACAGCACCACCCACACAACCCACTCAACCCACACCGCCAGCACCACCCACACCACCAGCACCACCCACACAACCCACTCAACCCACACCGCCAGCACCACCCACACCACCAGCACCACCCACACAACCAGCACCACTCACACAACCCACTCACACAACCCACTCACACAACCCACTCACACAACCCACTCAACCCACACCGCCAGCACCACCCACACCACCAGCACCACCCACACAACCAGCACCACTCAAACCACCAGCACTACCCACACCACCCCCTCCACCCACACCACCCCCTCCACCCACACCACCCCCTCCACCCACACCACCCCCTCCACCCACACCACCCCCTCCACCCACACCACCCCCTCCACCCACACCACCCCCTCCACCCACACAACCAGCACCACCCACATAGCATGCACTGTCAGCTCCTACCCAGCTCGGCGCACGACACCGGCACGACCACCACCTGCACGGGCATCATCAGCAGGAGTGTGGCAAATCGCCGCCCGCCACGAGCCCCACTTGCAGTCAGCCCCTACGCCAGCGCTGCCCACGACACTTGTGCAGGCCCCAGGCAGATGAGCATCGCCCCGTTGCAGACGTTTTTATGGATTGTGTTTTAATGTTTTGCAACTGCCAAAGCCACTTTGTAACTTTTTGTTATCAGATTTAACCCTTGGCAGTACTTGCCTAATCCAGTCACTTTCCTCTCCAAGACTTATACTTTTTATACATGTATAAGTGAGTAACATTGCACCCATTTTTGCTTCGCCTTATGCACACTGTCCTGTATTAATTATATTTGTTGAATTTAGCCTGAAGATTTGTTTACATTTGTTTTACGTTTTATTCTATTTTTAAACTGTTCTCAATGTAATCCAGGTCGCGCTCTTGCAAGAGAGATCCTCATCAGCAGCATCGTGGCAGAGAATATAAGTAACGAACGACACTTAACGATTCATTTGTTTCATGCGTTACGATTAAATGTTTGCGTCCAACTAGGACCCACTTCTTAAACAGAAGGTCCTTGCCTCCTATTACATCTGGCAGTTCACCAGCGATTGATTCAGGCAGCCTGACTCTGCTGGTGAGACTCTGTATGTCGAAACCGGTACAGAGTTTGTTTTGTTTGAAGCAAATGTGCCCCGCTGAAATTATTCACTCCCACAAAGCTGTGGGCCGATGGGTTGGATATTAAATACTTTTTTTAAATGTAAGTGGGTAGACATATGTTAATGAGACATTGTTTGTTTATCTATCTTGCAAAAAAGGCAATGCCATTTCATGAGTCTCAACGGGTTCTTTCATGCTGTGGTTCATGAAGGCTATGTGACAACCTCTGTGGACAAAACCCGCATTAGCAGTCCGGTGAGGTCTGGTGGGAACGCACCCCGTTATTGATAATTAGCATAACATTTGTAATTAATTATTGTGCTCGCGATTTGCAAAGTGTATCTTGAACTAGTCTTGACCACCACCACCTGCATCACCACCACCTGCATCACCGCCACCATCAACGTCGGCACCTGCACAAGCGCTGCCTACAAGTACACTTCATGCAACATCTACTTATAGACACTGGGCATATAAATATGCATCACTTAATTTACATCGATTCTTAATCTCAGGATGCACCACAAGTGAGAATTGATCATTCACAATGTATACAGATGATATGGGAATCTTACATTTAGGTGAACGGAGTGAACAAAACTTTAGAAACGAGATGAACAAATATTTGCTTTTTTCATCGCATCACAAACCTGAACCGTGACAATTTATTTAAGCACCGGGGATGTCGGTGAATCGTTAGAAGCCAGGCAATTCACAATTGGAATCATCGGCACCATCATTGACACCATCATGAGCTCCATCCGCACCATCATCGGCATCACCATCATCAATGCCATCATTGGCACTATTACCGTTGTTTGTCAACGCCACCCCTCGGAGACGCAGCCACCGCTCGTGATGGCTCCACCGGCACGGGGACCGCTGCGCCGACGTGGTGGCCGTGGGGCTCGGTTTATTTATTTATTTGTTTACGCGCTCTCGTTACAGTTTTAATTAAGGCGCTGGAATGTGGAGAAATCGCCCGCGGCGCGGTGAGGGGCGGGAGATTGGGGAGTATGGGGGCCAGGCGTGGTGGTGGTGATGGTGGTGTTGGTGATGGTTATGATGATGGTGGTGGCAATGGCATTGGTGATGGTGGTGGTTAACGATGGTGGCAGAGGAAGTCGTGATGATTATGGTTATGATGGTGGTAGCGATGGTGGTGGTTACAGTGGTCGTAGTTATAGCGGTGGTGGCGGTGATAGCGACTACATGAAGATCACACATTCACCTGGGATGTGAGAGAGAAAATCTTTTTTTAAAAAGGTGGGCATATAAACATCAGCAGCAGCACCATCATCCTGACAATGATTATTCTCAAAGAACTCCACACAACCTCATCACTGCCTTCCCATCAGCAGCTTTCGCAGTTTCGACAGAGAAGATGTTGCCACTGATGCTGCTGCGTATGATGATCAAGATGATGACGATGAGGAAGATACTGATGATGATCATGATGATCACGATGACACTGCTGTTGATGGTCATGATGATGAGAATGACTGAGATTTATGGGTGCCCCTGTCTAGTTACATAAAAAAAAACCTCAATTGGGAATTTCCCTTGCTTTGTAATTAAGCGGAGTTGTGCTTACGGGAAATGATTGTAGCCATTTCATTAAATTGACCGCAGCACCAGTATTCCATGCAAATACTAACGGCTCCGTCGGTCGCTCCGGCAAGAGCAAGCACCGGGAAGAGGGTGCGGCAACATCTATTCTGGATGACTCTGCAATGGCACATGGCGTGTAAAACTAGCATTTTTTTAAACTATTATTTTACCATGTAAGGCCTACTGAGCTATACAGCTCTTTTTCAGAAGTGACCTGACTCCAAATGATAGCCCAATTAAGTGGCTTATCGTGTTTAAACGTATAGCAGCCAAATACTCTAAAACGCGTGTTTCTAAATGTGGAGGGGAAAAACCGGAGGACCCGGATAAACATCCACGCGACCACGGGGAGAACATGGAAACTCCAAATATACACAGGCGTCTGGGTTGGGATTGAACCCATGGCCTCCTGTACACCAGGCAAGGTAGTAAACATCTCACCACCGCAGCGCGTGTAAACGGGGATACAGAAACTCGGCACCATCTCAATCGCCATCAGCACCACCATCACCTCTCACTGCTGTCTGCACCTTCCCCCAGGGTTTCTATCCCCTAGATTATTCTCCCAGTCTATCCCTCTATTGCCTTCTCCCTGCATCCATCTCCAATCAGCGACCCCCCACAGTCTTTCCCTTGCCTCCCAGTTTCTTCATCCGCTCTGCTTTTTTGCAGCCAGGCCACTGCGATGCTGTCAGTTGCATTGTCTGGCAATGAGACCAACATCCTCATCACCAACACGACAAATCATCTGCACCGCCGACACCACGACAGCCAACAGCACCGTCACAATCGCTACAACCGACACCACTAACCAATAATACCACCAGGACCACCACGACTACTAACAACAACCTATAACCACCACCACCACCCTTGCACCGCCCGAATCACCATCACCCAGACGACGTCTGAGCCACGGTGACCCGACACTCACGTTCACTGACCCGACTCGTTCACTGGTCAACATTACTGTGCGCACCATTTACTCCCTACACACCCCACACCCACCACCATGCCTCCCTCACCTACACCGCACACATCTCACGTTCATCCGCGCATTCCACACCTTGCCGCGGACACTGCACTCTCTCGCACCCCAAGACCATTCCTGTGCACCTACACCATCCCATTCTCCTCACACCTTCCTGTACACCCACGACTCCCTCGACACCGCGCGCCTTCTCTCCTGAACATGCGGGCCCCCTTCCTGTCCACCACACCCTCCGTCACACACCGAACCTACTCAAACCCACTGCTCACCTGTTTGTCCCCACTGCTCCACATTGCGCCACACACCTTAGGCACTCACCCCCCACCACCACTTCCCATGCACGCCACACCTTCGCAAACAGCCACCCCTTCCCATGCATCCCACACCTCCACATGCACCCCACACCTCCACATGCTCCCCACACCTTCCCATGCACCCACACGCCTTCCCATGCACCCACACACCTTCCCATGCAGCCCACACCTTCCCATGCACCCCACACCTTCCCATGCACCCACACACCTTCCCATGCACCCACACGCCTTCCCATGCACCCACACACCTTCCCATGCACCCACACACCTTCCCATGCACCCACACACCTTCCCATGCACCCACACACCTTCCCATGCAGCCCACACCTTTCCATGCACCCACACACCTTCCCACGCGCAACCACCCCCTCCCAAACACCGAGGACCTCCACATGCACCCCACACCATCCCACAAATCCACGCCTACCCATGCACCCCGCACACCTCCACATGCGCCCCACACCATCCCACGAACCCACACCAACCTACACCCCCCATACCTCCACATGAACCCACACATTCCCATACACCCACACCCCGAGTGTCAGAACCTTGCGTCGGGACCGCGAGTTGAACGACCACGTCTACCCCCCTCCCTCTCGGCTCCTTATCCGCGGGAGCCGACAGCCCGTAAGTCGCGGAACTCCTCTTGAGTGGAGACCCCGGGACTCGGGAAAACTCTTTACCCCACGAACCCCCTCATCGCCTGCCGCAGCCCCACACTCTCGCCACAGCCTCGTGGCGCCCCACGCTCGCGAGCCGCCGCTTACTTTGCGCGTCCGCCTCCATGCCGAGCCGGGCCGGTCCCCGCTTGGGCGCGCGAGGGAGGAGAGCGACGATCCGGGGGGGTCCCGGGGTCGGGTGGTCCCGCCTGGCCGCTCCGCCGCGATCCCCGCGCTCTGCCCGGCAGAAGCCTTTGCTAGGCCCCACGGTGGCGCCCGACCGCCCGCCCTCGGGGGCTCTCGGGGTGCGCGGAAGCAGCGGCAGCCGCAGGGCTCGCGCAGGTCCCCGAGTTTCGTTGGCGGGGTCCGGGGTCCCGCGCCGAGGGGGTCCCGCGCCGCAGGGCTCCGCGCTGCTGGGGTGCCCCGCGTCTCGCCTCGCCTCCACTCCGCGCCGCTCGAGCGCGGCCCCGCGCAGCGACCAATGGGAGCGCGCCGCTTGTAGCACGTGACTCGCACCGTCCAATTGGAACAACGCGAGCAACGCACGGCCTAAAAACCCGCCCGGAGTGTCCCACGTGGAGCGAAGAGGGGACCCTGGGGGGACCCGGAGAGGAGACCCCGGGGGGAACCAGAGAGGGGACCTAGGGGGTACCTGAACAGACCTCCAGAGGGGTTACGGGGGGGATACGGAGAGGGGACCCTGGGGGGAACCAGAGAGGGGACCTAGGGGGTACCTGAACAGACCTCCAGCGGGGTGGGGGGGGTACAGAGAGGGGACGCAAGGGAACCTAATGGGGAGACTCACGGGGACCTGGAGTTGATGACCCAGGGGAGCAGAGGGGAGCTGCATTGGGGATTTAGAGAGACCGCAGAGACTCTGGGGGCCCAAAGAGGGGACCCTGGGGGGCGTGGAGAGGGGACTTGGGGGGGCAGCTTGAGTGATGATATTGGGGGGCCCAGGAGGACATAGAAAGGTGACCCCAGGGGGACCCAGAGAATGACTCAGGGGGCCCGAGTGGGAACTATGGAGGGGATCCAGAGGGAAACCCAAGGGGCCTAGGGGGACCCAGGTATGCGACGTAAGGGGGTTCAGAGAAGACATTGCAAGGGGACCCAGAAGGACTTGGAAGAGAGGGGCAAGGGGGGGACTGGGACCATGTTCAAAGTAGAACCCCGGTGGGAGCAACTGATTGGGAGTGGGATCTAAGACCGCAGCCAGCACTGGGAGGCCAAAGCAGGAGACCGGGCGTCAACTCGGCCCAGCCTGTCCATCATTCTGGGTCGATAAAATGAGTAACACTGTGAGAAGTCAGCAGTGGCTAACTCACGGATGCATGTGTGTTGAACTTCTCTCGCGCCGTGCGAAGCCAACCGTGCTAATCGGAGGTGCGGGGGAAGGACAACAAACGAAATACATGTCCCCCATGGGAATGAGGACTTTCCACCACAGGGACAGGGTGGAAAGTTCTCAGCAACCTCAGGGTCCCAAGTCTGGATCGGGGGGTCGCGAGAGTGAAAAGAGTCCATGCTCTTGCAGCAAAACCATCGCAATAATAATCATAGCTCCCATCACAATCACCATTGTCACAGCGCCGTGAAATCACCAACATCAGCTTTACAACGTCACAGCGTAACCATCACCCTGACCAACAACCACATCACCATCCCTGTGAGGCAGGATGCGCAGTGTCTCGGTTGCGATGAAGGTGGCGCTGGCGCCCAAAACTCACACCCAGCTCTTTCCCTACCACTAACCCTGGTCATACCCACACCTACCACTAACCATGGTCATACCCACACCTACCACTAACCCTGGTCATCCACACACCTACCACTAACCCTGGTCATCCACACACCTACCAGTAACCCTGGTCATCCACACACCTACCACTAACCCTGGTCATCCACACACCTACCACTAACCCTGGTCATCGACACACCTACCACTAACCCTGGTCATCCACACACCTACCATTAACCCTGGTCATACACACACCCACCACTTACCCTGGTCATCCACACAGCTACCACTAACCCTGGTCATCGACACACCTACCACTAACCCTGGTCATCCACACACCTACCACTAACCCTGGTCATACCCACACCTACCACTTACCCTGGTTATCCACACAGCTACCACTAACCCTGGTCATCCACAAACCTACCACTAAACCTGGTCATCCACACACCTACCACTAACCTTGGTCATCAACACATCGACCACTAACCCTAGTCATCCACACACCTACCACTAACCCTGGTCGTCCACACACCGACCACTAACCCTGGTCATCTACACACCTACCACTTACCCTGGTTATCCACACCCCTACCACTAACCCTGGTCATCGACACACCTACCACTAACCCTGGTCATCCACACACCTACCACTAACCCTGGTCATAGCCACACCTACCACTTACCCTGGTCATCCACACAGCTACCACTAACCCTGGTCATCCACAAACCTACCACTAAACCTGGTCATCCACACACCTACCACTAACCTTGGTCATCAACACATCTACCACTAACCCTAGTCATCCACACACCTACCACTAACCCTGGTCGTCCACACACCTACCACTAACCCTGGTCATCTACACACCTACCACTTACCCTGGTTATCCACACACCTACCACTAACCCTGGTCATCCACACAGCTACCACTAACCATGGTAATCCACACACCTACCACTAACCCTGCTCATACCCACACCTACCACTAACCCTGGTCATCCACACAGCTACGACTAACCCTGGTCGTCCACACACCTACCACTAACCCTGGTCATCCACACACCTACCACTAACCCTGGTCATCTACACAGCTACCACTAACCCTGGTCATCCACACACCTACCACTAACCCTGGTCATACCCACACCTACCACTAACCCTGGTCATCCACACAGCTACCACTAACCCTGGTCGTCCACACACCTACCACTAAACCTGGTAATCCACACACCTACGACTAACCCCGGTCATCCACACACCGACCACTAACCTTGGTCATCCACACAGCTACCACTAACCCTGGTCATCCACACACCTACCACTAACCCTGGTCATCCACACACCTACCACTAACCTTGGTCATCCACACACCTACCACTAACTCTGGTCATCCACACAGCTACCACTAACCCTGGTCGTCCACACACCTACCACTAACCCTGGTCGTCCACACACCTTCCACTAACCCTGGTCATCCACACACCTACCACTAACCCTGGTCATCCACACACCTACCACTAACCCTGGTCATCCACACACCTACCACTAACCCTGGTCATCCACACACCTACCAATAACCCTGGTCATCGACACACCTACCACTAACCCTGGTCATCCACACACCTACCACTAACCCTGGTTATACCCACACAGCTACCACTAACCCTGGTCGTCCACACACCTACCACTAACCCTGGTAATCCACACACCTACCACTAACCCTGGTCATCGACACACCTACCACTAACCCTGGTCATCCACACACCTACCACTAACCCTGGTCATAGCCACACCTACCACTTACCCTGGTCATCCACACAGCTACCACTAACCCTGGTCATCCACAAACCTACCACTAAACCTGGTCATCCACACACCTACCACTAACCTTGGTCATCAACACATCTACCACTAACCCTAGTCATCCACACACCTACCACTAACCCTGGTCGTCCACACACCTACCACTAACCCTGGTCATCTACACACCTACCACTTACCCTGGTTATCCACACACCTACCACTAACCCTGGTCATCCACACAGCTACGACTAACCCTGGTCGTCCACACACCTACCACTAACCCTGGTCATCCACACACCTACCACTAACCCTGGTCATCCACACAGCTACCACTAACCCTGGTCATCCACACACCTACCACTAACCCTGGTCATACCCACACCTACCACTAACCCTGGTCATCCACACAGCTACCACTAACCCTGGTCGTCCACACACCTACCACTAAACCTGGTAATCCACACACCTACGACTAACCCCGGTCATCCACACACCGACCACTAACCTTGGTCATCCACACAGCTACCACTAACCCTGGTCATCCACACACCTACCACTAACCCTGGTCATCCACACACCTACCACTAACCTTGGTCATCCACACACCTACCACTAACTCTGGTCATCCACACAGCTACCACTAACCCTGGTCGTCCACACACCTACCACTAACCCTGGTCGTCCACACACCTTCCACTAACCCTGGTCATCCACACACCTACCACTAACCCTGGTTATCCACACACCTACCAATAACCCTGGTCAACCACACACCTACCACTAACCCTGGTCATCCACACACCTACCACTAACCCTGGTCATCCACACACCTACCAATAACCCTGGTCATCGACACACCTACCACTAACCCTGGTCATCCACACACCTACCACTAACCCTGGTTATACCCACACAGCTACCACTAACCCTGGTCGTCCACACACCTACCACTAACCCTGGTAATCCACACACCTACCACTAACCCTGGTCATCCACACACCTACCACTAACCCTGGTCATCCACACACCTACCACTAACCCTGGTCATCCACACACCTACCACTATCCTTGGTCATCCACACACCTACCACTAACCCTGGTCATCCACACACCTACCACTAACCCTGGTCATACCCACACCTACCACTAACCCTGGTCATACCCACACCTACCACTTACCCTGGTCATCCATACACCTACCACTAAGCCTGGTCATCCACACACCTACCACTAAGCCTGGTCATCCACACACCTATCACTAACCCTGGTCATCCACACACCTACCACTAACCCTGGTCATACCCACACTTACCACTTACCCTGGTCACCCACACACCTACCACTAACCCTGGTCATCCACACACCTACCACTAAACCTGGTCATCTACACATCTACCACTAACCCTGGTCATCCAAACAGCTACCACTAACCCTGGCCATCCACGCACCTACCACTAACCCTGGTCATCCATACACCTACCACTAACCCTGGTCATTCACACACCTTCGACTAACCCTGGTCATCCACACACCTACCACTAACCCTGGTCATCCACACACCTACCACTAACCTTGGTCATACCCACACCTACCACTAACCCTGGTCGTCCACACAGCTACCACTAACCCTGGTCATCCACACACCTACCACTAACCCTGGTCATCCACACACCTACCACTAACCCTGGTCATACCCACACCTACCACTTACCCTGGTCATCCACACACCTACCACTAACCATGGTCATCCACACACCTACCACTAACCCTCGTCATCCACACTCCTACCACTAACCCTGGTCATCCACACACCTACCACTAACCCTGGTCATCCACACACCTACCACTAACCCTGGTCATCCACACACCTACCACTAACCCTGGTCATCCACACACCTACCACTAACCCTGGTCATCCA